GAGCTTCCCCACTAATCAGCGAATCCCTCCAGGATCGATGTGCCCTCAGAAGGCATCCAGATATGAAAAATTGGATCTAGGTGCAGTTCTCCGCACCATTGTGATATCACCACTGGAACATAGTAGAATTTTAATACTGGGGCAGTGGTATAGCTCTCTAGCTGAGCACATATTTTGTATTGGGAATGTTTGTGGCATTTCCAGATAGGCTGGAAAAACATGTTTAAAACTTCACCATTCCCGGTGAGCCTAGGAATAGGAACCTAGCTCCTATTAGCCCTAGCTTATACAACTAGTGGCAAGATATTGTGAGAATTACAGTTCAAAACTCTAGAAACTTGTGCCAGTATTTGCTCCCAATGAATGGGCTCCTGATAAAAATTGTTTTCTATTCTCTAGTGTTTGAGATTACTCAGCATTGTATATTCCATGGATTACACAGAATCCTATAGATTTGAGTTAAATGGGCAACTTGTACACTAGAGTTATTAGATTATATAAATATTCTAGAACTTCTTACATCCAGAATGGAGTGTATAATATTCTATCTATTTTAGTTTTGATCTTATCTGCAAAACTATGTGATAATTATTTGATAAGAAGAATGCTAGTGATTCAATTTTATATTAGTCTGAGTAAAGAAAGTCCTTATCCTTAAACACAGATTAAGAATTTTGTACATAGCTCATTTAAAATTTGGTCTGCCAGATTGCTGAGGGAATATGAGTTAAGACTAAAAAGTGGTCTACAATAAAAAGGCAGAGGGCAAGGATTCTATCTTAATAGCATTAACCTTAAAATAGTTAATATTTATGGTCATAATTTTAATATTTCTAATGCAGGTCATAATTTCATGAATCAAAATGCTCTTTATTAATTACAGATTTTTATCAGTGATGATGATTTTAAGGAAATTAAATTAATTTCCCATAAGAAGCTCTGTTTTCAGTTTATTTATTTTATTCATTTTGATGCTATCTAACTGCAACTGATTCTGGACAGCTCATTATACATTAAACCAGATAGAAACAAGCAACATACAACAAAAACAAAACCAGAAAAGAAAAAAACAACAAGATAGTGAACCTTTCAGGCACTCTAAAACATCCTACCAATGTCTTAAAAGAATGTTTCCAGATAAAGAAAACATTTTGGAGTTCTTTCTGGGTATATTGTATTAATTAATTTGTTTGAATGCCTTTGGGAATTGCTGTAATAGTAATTTTTATTTATGTTATTTACAAAGATAAAAATGTTAATTACAAAGATAAAAACCAATACAAACCAAAATGTAATAAAAAGAAAATATAGAAAGCAGAAAAAATAGAAAAATATCTACTACTTTTAACAATCTTGATCTTTCGTCCCTTCAGATAACGTCTTAAAACTTTATTCCTTTTCATTTCACAAATGAAAGCAAATATACTGTTATGTGTCCCAGGATAATATTTCAGGATCCAATCTGGGTCCGTCATTGGGATTAGAAGTTTAGTCTTCCAAGCTTTAGGACTAGTGCTGGAGCCCATCATCCTTGGGGAGCTTCTCTCTACCAGAATGTGGTAGAGACACATTCTGTGGTAGAAGCACATTCTGGTAGAGAGAAGCTCCCCGAGGATGATGGGCTCCAACACCAGTCCTGAAAGCTTGGAAGACTAAACCTCTAATCCCAGTGACCGACCCAGATTGGATCATTTTCATTTCTTTTTCTTTTTCTATTTTTACAAAATTCTTCAAAGCTTGAACAAGCTTATTTTCTAAACCTAACACAGGAAAATTATCCAGGCCATTCTCTTGGTTTTGCTATTTGTTTTTAATTTTTAATTATTAACACATTAGCCAATTTCATATGTGCATCCAGTGTAGCTTCTTTTCCCATATTATTTTTGTGGCCTATCTGTTTTAAATCCATTTTCAGATCTTGTCCTGTAAAATTTGTTCCTCTTCCATAACATCTTTTCAATGCAGTCTATCTATGAAGCAAATATTCTTAACACTTAACTTTTTCATCCATTGTTCAAAAATATCCTTCAATGTTTTCAGTTAAAATATTTTTTCTGTTCTGTTTCAGTAGGTCAAATTTAAGTTTTCTTCTCCTTTCATTGTTGTCAGGGTTCCGACAGATGCCCTAATTAATCAATGAACCTTGGGCCAAGTTTCAAAAGAAATCCAATTATTTATTAAGTGCAACATGTCATCACTTTTCCCAAGTGCAGTCGGCTTTGCCCTATGTAATTTACTGCCTACCTATGGCCCTATTTCCCCCCTCCTCCCAGGGCGTGTCATAAATCGCCTTCTCCAATGAAGCACTTTTGCGGGCTATAAAAAACACAGCCTCTCCGGCTGGCTCTGGTCACTTGGGACACAATCTGGAGAAAGGCATACGTGGAATGTGCTTCTGGTCATAGCAACCGAACTGCTCCATCAGATCTCTTCACCCCCCTCCTTCTTATGGCAACTCAAGAGCAGACCAGGAATGCTTTACGAGTTGACAATTGTAATATTTAGTTCTTTCTAGTTACTACTAGTTTTCAACCCTCAAGATCTCATTCTATTTTTTTTTTTAAGAGCATTCAAAAGAAAATTATTTTCCCACAGGGAGGATTGTTATAATTAATTCCAAAAACCTTATTTCAAATCCATCTGGACTTTTAGTCTGTCATTTTCCAAAATACCATTTTGCCTTTAAGGTCCATTAAGTCTTTAAACTTGTATTTAAACTTCTTTCACTAAGGATTGAAGGAAAATCACCTGGTACTGAACAACCTGTTGATCCAAAGACAGGTTCCTAACCCATTGGAAGCTGTGGCCTCCTTGTGAGGAGCAACTATATAGTGGACAATTTGAAGTCATCCCCCGAAAAGGATTATGAAGAGCTGGTCTGTTTAACAGGCTCTTCCTTCTGCTGTTAGTGGGACCATCTTCAGTTTGCTATTTCTTCCCCAGAAGTTTTTTTTTTGGGGGGGTGGGGAATGGCTGAATTGTGAAAATCCATTTTATCAGGATAGTTTTCATGGTGATTATAACTAATACATTATTTTGAGTTTAAAATCAGAGAAATATTTGCAGAGGATTAAACTAGATTTAAATGAAATGCTATTAGAAATAGCAATAGTTTGGATATATTAGTCTTAAGTATTTAGATAATGTCAATTATTGCCAGATACCTTATGCTTTATGAAAAATTCCTGAAATGTACATTTCAAAAGGTATGGTATTATTTCAGACATATATTTTTCAAAATTTTGTCCTTATTTTTCACTCCTTAAGTTTCACCTGTCAAGTGGGAGATAATTTTGCAGATTTAATTTGATACCTTTTTAATCTTTTTTGGTTAGAATATAGCTTAAATGTATATTTTCTGATTTTATCCTCATAAATATTTAAGTATAAATAATTTGTGTAATATTGTATGACATAAATATGTATGTGGTGGTTAGATTTGATTAATATAAAGAAAATATATGGTTTTTTTTCTTTTATATGCACACACACACACACACACACACACAAAGTAATAGTGTAATATGCAAGATGATTGTATAAATATATACATTATATACATTATATAAATAAGAAAACTGCAGGCATACCAAACAAGGGAATGGTAACTAATGTTAAGAAAATTTGTATATATGTGTTTAGTAATAGCTTTAATCTTTGTAACCTCTTCATTTTTTTCATCTCATATAAAAGAAATAATGGATTAGCATTCGTAGTTAATGCTTCAAAGCCATATGTGTGCATATGTTTGTAAGAGAATTTTAAAATATCCTTTCCAAATCTACATTTTTCAATCTCATGTTCTAAACCTGCTTTATGATTTGGGCATCTTTATAGCTTAATATACTATGTGAAAGTCATTCTTGCTCTTTGAAATAAAAAAAAAAATGGCTATTGAATGGGAGCCATTAAACTCATGGAATTTGAAACATTCCTTTTTTTTCTTCAATATAACAAATTTAGGGTGAAGGAAGGAAGATATCTGTATTCCACTATGAAATTCTCTAAAAAAATGTGGATTCCTCTGCCACAACTCCTGATTTAAAAATACTGTTTTTTATTCTTGTGAAAGACACTTTACTGCTTTTCTTTTATGGCAGTGCTGTTTCTTTTATTGGACTCATTAATATACACCAAACTGTTGCTTTCTAGGTATGCTTGTTTACCATTAATATCGCCCAGAGTCATCACATCCCAAGGGAGAAGTTATGACCACACATATTTGAATGGCTGTATAAATATTATTTTGATTTTGATACTATTCCTGCAACTTTCCTTAAACCTTTTACAGTAATAAATTCAGTGTGTTGTAAGATGCCAAGCAAAAACATGAAAATGCTGAAAATGATATAAGCCAACATTTTTAAAAAGTATCTAGCCATGGAAAGTTTAGTTATTTTTTGTCTCCTAAATGTCAAAAATATGGGACATTTGGGAACAGGAAGGTAAATTCTATGAGTTACTTTCAATTTCAATGCATGCATTTAGGAATCTATTTCTTTACTTAGAGCTTTGTTTTGCAGGGTCTCTTAATACATAGTAATATAGCTGTCTTGAGTTGTTTCATTGAATGCATGTAGGCTACTGGAGCAGCAAGCAACGTGTCTTAAAGATGTTTTAAATGTCCATTCATTCCCAGCCAGCAAGACCAGTGGCAAATATTTGTGGAAACTATGCTGGAAACCATCTGGAGGATCCCTACATGCCTATTTCCTTCATGTTAGCTTATCAAAGCAAAGCTAATGAACAATTCTTAACAACACGCTCATTATTATGCCTGCCAACTAGCAAGTAATGCTCTAAATGCATATAAACATCTGTTTCCAGAGAAGTCTGCAAAATGCTCCTAACTTTGTAACAATTCAAATGCCAGTATCTAATGATTAAACAGTAGATTCTCGTGTAAAGGTTTGTTGCTGTTTTATAGTGTTTTTATTATCAATATTGGTAATGACTCTCTTTTTTTTGTCTTTCACTGTGCGATTGAATGTTGATCAAAGGTGGTTCTGTGAAGGTAAAGAACTACAAAATTCTCCTGATATTCAGATTTGTTCTGAAAGCGGAGGACTCCAGACACTCATTATAGCAGAAGCTTTTGAAGACGACACAGGGCGCTACTGTTGCCTGGCCTCCAATTCCCTTGGCTCTAGTTCTTCTTCAGCAGAATTATTTGTGGAAGGTAAGAAGATATGGCAATAAAAAGATCATGCATTGGGTTCTGTTTCTACTACCCTGTTTCTCCAACAATACGGCCTCCCCCAATAGGAAGTCCCAGCATGTTTTATAGGCATGAAATGAAATTAAGCCCCTCCCCCCAAATTAAGGCCTATATTAAAACATGCGAAATGGGGAGAATGGTGGGGGGGCTTGCCGTTAGGAAGTACTTTTGTTGCACACCCAGATATGGTGCTGCCTGCGTTGACCCTGATACGAAGTGCCCCACCAACACCAAGGTCAACATCCAAGCCGTCGCCACCCGCCCGAAGATGCAAGGGGGGGGGGGAATTAAGTCACCCCCGAAAAGACGACCTAGCCATTTGGGGGGGGGGCTCAAAAAAAAATAAGACCCGGCCTTATTATATGAGAAACACGGTACCATATTTATAATAACAGCTCTAGCTTTTACAAGTTTATGGGTCTGCACTCTGCAATCTCAATCTGCATGTCTAAATTGTCAGTGTCTACAATGATTAAAAAGCCTAATGTTAATTGTTATAATTCTGCTGTATATAGCAGTTCTTCTATTCTTAATTATACAAATTAGACTTTAAAAACTGTTTTTAAACAAAAACTGAGATGTTGTAAAACAAGGCAGAAAACTTTTTTTCCACAGGAGGGTACCCTGTTTATTTTTGAAGTCCAAGAACTGCTGGGGCGACAGTGATGGTGTGGTCATGTCTATAGTGGCAGCGAGTTGTATTTGATATTTTGATATTTGATATTTTCAAAATGTGTTATAAGCAGTATAGTTCTCATGAAGGCTTTCCAATTCATAACGTGGTCTGACTCAAAGAAACATTTTCTGGCAAAATGGTTTCACTCACCACCACCCATATCCATGTCAGTTACAAATTTGTCACCTTCCCATCTCTGGGCATACATACAAAGCACTAACATGAGGTGTCAAACTCAATTTCATTGAGGGCTGCATCAGCATTATGATTGCCTTCAAAGGACAATGTAAGACTAGGATGACTCACAGCGGCCAGATCGGCATGGCTGGGTGGGCACAACAGGGTCACTGCAACTTGGTGGACGTGGCTGGGTGGGCATGGCCAACTCGACATCACCCACTGGGCGTGGTTAACTCAAGACAGCTGGGTCAGGATGGAACAAGTCGTACTGGCTAACTCGATATGGGGACAATTCAGTGCCCCACAAGCTCCTTGCCTCCTCAAACTGCTGGCAGCAAAGTATCTGTGCAAACACCTACACCCACACTCTGAATTCTAAGTTTGGGAACCTTTATCCACAGAAGGAGGAGGCATGATTAGCAGTTTGCAAGTTCAGGTGTAGATAAAGGCTCTAAGCTTGGAATGGTGTGTGTGTGTGTGTGTGTGTGTTGTGCACGCCCAAGTACAGCACACCAAAGGAGACTTTCTTCTTCCAATCCTAAACATTGTTGGTGTTTCCCTGTCCGGTGCCCCCACCCAGCAAAGCAGGAGACAGAGGATGATGCTGTTGCATGTGGAAGTATGGAGGAGAAAGTTTGAAGAAGCAGTTTCTTCTGAGTCCAACTTCTGCCTTGACAGATCTCTGGAGAGCAAGAGGAGGAGGCAGGGAAGCAGTGCTCCCCAGTCCTGCACGAGAGAGGCTGGCCCTTCTCAAAAGGAATCCCCATTTCCAATTATGTATGGTAAGGATGCTGGCTTATTGAGGCAGCCTTCCCTCATGCAGCTCCCCCAGCACCATCTCCTCCTCTCCAGAGATCTGTCAAGGCAGAAGTTGGGCCTGGAGGAAACTGCTTCCTGAAAACTTTTTCCTCTACACTTCCACATGTAGCAATGTCATCCTCTGCCTCCTGTGGAGGGCCAGGCAAGGCCGGGAGTGGGGATCCAGAGGTGTCCAGCATAGGTAAGGTGAGACCAGGGTGAGCTCCAAAGCTTTGTCCACCAGAGGAGCCTTGCCATCCCTCTCAGGCCATGTGGAGGACCCCCGGATGGCAGCATAGGCTGCCTGGAGCCCTGGGTAGCAGAGGGTAAGGACCCACCTGGTCCTCAAGCTCTTGGGGCACTGGGACCCCACAGCCCGGCTTCTGGGGCACCTGGCCATGCTTACCTCCTCCTTGAGTTACTGCTGCTGTGCTCGCTCTTCTTGGCCAGGTTGCTCATGGTGAGTGTGGGAGGGCAAAGTGCATGGGTCAGAGGGAGGCCCACTCCCTCTCCATACAAGGAGACCTGGCTTTACAAGCAAATCATTCTCAGCAATCAGATGGGAGACCACCAGAAGTGGGCAAGGAGATGGCAGAAGGGCAGCAGGGTTGCTGGCAGCCAAGTGCTAAGGCAGGACTTCGCTTAGACCTTCCCACCCTCTCATTCCAATCTCCTTCCTTCCTCCCTCCCTCCCTTCCTCTCTCCCTCCCTCCTTCTCATTCCCATCTTCTTCCTCCCTCCCTCCCTCTCTCCGTGCTCAGGAAGGGACAAGGGGAGGGGGAGAAAGTGGCAGCACTGCTGGTGGCCGTGGCTTTACCACACGGGCGGTGGGAGGCGGCGTGGGGGCCATCCCAGTGAAAGGGAAGCGCTAATGGGTTGAGGGCCCAGCGGGGCAAGGCTGAGCAGGTGAACAGGCCATGGAGACAGCAGAAGCACTGGTGTAAGGTATGGCACTGCTGCCAGGGCTCCGCTATATGCTGATCTGCAACGTCATGGTTGCCACCCGGAACATGGTCAGCCTTAGATCTGGGCCATGGAGCTACCCTGGAGACAGTGAGAAGCTGACCCCCACTGCCTTACCCCTGGCCTGGACAGGGCGTTCCCCCTGGGCATATACATAGAAGCAGTGGTGGGATTCAAATAATTTAACAACTGGTTCTCTGCCCTAATGACTGGGTGGGCATGGCCAACTTGATTGGTCTCACCCTTAGGAAATTTCTCCTTAGTCCAACTCACAATAAAATAGCAGAATAAAATAGCACTATTCCAATATTTAGAATAGAATAGAATATCAGAGTTGGAAAGGATCTTGGAGGTCTTCTAGTCCAACCCCCTGCTTAGGCAGGAAACCCTACACCAATTCAGACAAATGGTTATCCAATCTCTTCTTAAACACTTCCAGTGTTGGAGCATTTACAACTTCTGGAGGCAAGTTGTTTCACTGATTAATTGGTCTGTCAGGAAATTTGAGGGGCTCGTACAACAATGAGGGAGTCAATCTATTTTCCAAAGCACCAAAAAGCACAACAAGAAACAATGGATGGAAACTAACCAAAGAGAGAAGCAATCTAGGACTAAGGAGAACTTTCCTAAGGGTGAGACCAATCAACCAATGGAATAGCTTGTCTTCAGAAGTTGTGGGGCTCCATCACTAGAGGCTTTCAAAAAGAGTGAGGGAAATATACCCCGAAAGGAACCACTAAAACAATGCAGAAAACTTAAAACAGCCATTCCCCCTTTAAAAAAAAGTCAACCCCAAAGCAAATGCAGCAGCTGAGAGGGAAACTAAGAGCAGCTGCTCATGTTAATTGAAAGCCTGGGCGTGCTGCCAAAAGCCATCAACCCTTCCAACTCTATTATTCTATGTTCTCTATGTTCTAAATTGGGTGCTTCACAGCAGAAGCAATAAAGCTGGCTGGACCACACATGCATTAAATTCACGGCCTGTATGATCAAGCTGCACCACTGCCCTATCCTGTATCTTTTCCCCCCAGGAAGAAACAAGAAGTAGCCAATACTGCAGCAGCTATAAAAGGTCTTGGGGAACTTAGGGAGTATCAGCTGATCACAGAAGTGTTACTTAATACTCTTTATAATGAAAATGTTTGTTATCTTGTCCTTCTTCCTGAAGAGAAGAGGTTAATCCCATCCCAAGATGAGTGATTGATGGGTTTCCCTGCTCTAATCCTGTCAGTTTCTGTTGCTTATTGGCTTGATTCAGCATGTATCAGCTGAATTCCAGCTGCAACTGTTAAGTGGTTCTTGGCTATTAACTGAAGGAAGGGACAGAGAGAGAGAGAAAAAACTACTCTTGCACTTTATTTTTAACCAGTTCTCCGAACTGCATGAGCAATTAACTAATGGTTGGGGTGAACCGGTGAGAACCTGTTAAATCCCACCTGTGCATAGGAGGTGGAGAGTGCTTCTCCATTGACCATCTTGCCTCACAGACTGAACAAGTTCAGAGCACTTCCCTTTCACTGGGGACATCAGTCCCTACACGCTCACTGCTTCCTGTGTGCCACGGAGAGTGCCTGGCAAAGTCGGGGTGGGCACTGTCCCTGGGCAGGCCCTTCATTGTCTCCAGGGCGGTCCTGCAAGTGAGATCTAACCACATTTTTGGTCTGGCTATGGCCTGCGGGCTTTGAGTTTGACATTTCTGCACTAAGATAAGGACACTTGTTATTTTTGCTTTCCAAGAAAGTAGATGGATTTTGCATGGAATTCAAGAGTTTTACGAAAACCAGACATAAATTCTAGCTTTGTAGACTGCTAATTTCTTTTCATGTGTCTTAATATTAAAAACTTTAAATTTAATAAATTACAGTAATTGGATGGGATAAGACTGGTGAGGACCAAAGTGCCATGGAAATTTTAGCAATACTGAAATCATGAAGATTGTCTTAAATATTCTGTTTATAAACATGCAGCTGTGTTACACCTGATGTTATCACTAATGATTCTGTTTCCTACTTTTCTGCAGGTGGCAGTTCCTCTGATTCTGATAGTGAACATTTCAAAACAAAATCTGGAGCCATGCCCCAGTGAGTTTACAGAACAAAACCAACTATGTTGTGTTTAATGTTTCTATGGCCATCTGAAAGGATAATTGCTAAGCTGTTCTGCTTCATATCTTCCTCCTGTAATCACTTTATGCAGGGAAAGAATTAACTACTGTTAATCAATAATCAAGTGCTGTTGATGTATTGGATTGAACCTTGACCATAGGATGACTATGAAGGCTATTTTTTTTAATATTCCCAAGATGGATTCCAAGCATATCAGTAAAATTATCTTTGTTGTAATGTATAACTGGGGTTTATATGTAAGAAATATTTCCTAAAATACAAAGAATTTGATGGGGAAATATTTGTGTTAGAGTTTCATTGCTGCACTGGAAACATATTAAGCTGCGGTTTTCTACTTATTGAAGAAATAGACAATGGAAAATGTAGTTAATTGGTTACAGGTCCCTAATCAGAATGTCTTATACTAAGTAATCAGCTGATTTAAGCAGCCTGGCATACAAAAGTTACTACTTTTATCTACAAGAGCAATGTGAATACTACGTCTGAATTGGATGGCATAGAAATGGGGCACTGCAATGATGAGAATGCCTTATTTAATTTAAACTTTTGACAGCAAATTTACTAAGCAAAAGATCTACACCCACAATCTTTGTATGACTGTTAGAACAAAAATATAACCATCACTTCAAATGTGGAATGCCTGTTTTTTTTTTTTTTTTTAGAAAAATTAATGAAAAAGGTAAAAATTTGAGAAATCAGCTTTGAAAGGAAAAAAAACGCATTTGCTTTACTTTAAGATGTGTATAATTACAACTTGGAGCAATTTTTAACATTAAAATGTTGATTGAAGAATAAGGGTTCAAAGCAGTGCCGGTAGCACCGATGAGTAGCAGAGACCAAACCGTTTCTCTCCGATGCTCTGCTGGTTGGACTCATCCTCTCCCATACTAACCTTTATTCCTATTCCCTACCACTTAACAGGGGGGAAAATGAGTGTGGAACTTAGCGATTGAATTAGTCATGAGAATAGAGTCTACGGTGTTCTATTTCATGAAATGGGAAGCATTGTTTGAGCACACTAAATGACTTTCTCTCTGCATTTTGATTTGTCCGTTTATTCAGAGCTCAGAAGAAAAGCACTTCTGTTTCCTTGACAATTGGATTGTCATCCCCAAAGTCTGGAATTACTACAGCAGTAATCCAGCCTATCTCTGTGCCTAATCAGCAGGTATATATTTATGTGCTACTTTAAAACATAGAATATTTATTACATTTATTATTATTTATGTATTATTATTTAGCATATGATGAGAATATGACAGAAGAGAAGTAAACATATAGACACAGTCCATGTGATTATCAATATAACGTCTATGGCCTCATAACTGGATGTCCACCTATCCAGGCAATTGCCCCTGGCATTGCTTCATGCAGATCTTCTACAGAACTGGAGAATTAATTAAATTATTATTAAATTAATAATAACATGTAGATATATCCTGCAACTATAAGAGCTTTCCTTCTTTTCTGCCTTGGATTCTTCTATTCTTGATGCACTTATTTTATGAAGGGTCCTTACTCACCTTCCTGTACAAGGTTCAGGTATGAGACCATTAATGTATAAATAATTTTTAAGGGAACATGGCAGACTACAGGTAGTTCTCAACTTACAGCACTTCATTCAATGACTGTTCAAAGTACAACACTGAAAAAGTGACTTATGACCATTTTTCACAGTTAACAACTATTGTATGTGACCCCATGGTCACATGTCCACAATTCAGATGTTTGGCAACTGATTCATATTTATGACGCTTGCGTGTCCTAGGGTCATGCGATAATTTTTTATGACCTTCTGACCCGCAAAGTCAACAGATAACAGATAATCAGAGTTGGAAGGGACCTTGTAGGTCATTTAGTCCAACCCCCCTGCCGCCCAAGCGGGAGACCCTACACCATTTCTGACAGATGGCAGTCCAATCACTTCTTGAAAGTCTCAAGTGATGGCGCTCCCAGGGAAGAGAGATTTACTTAACAACCATATTAATAATTTAACAACTGCAGTGATTCACTTAACAACTGTGGCAAAAAAAGGACATAGAATGGGGCAAAACTCAAAAATTTTGGGCTTAATTGTAGTTGTAAGTTGAGGACTATCTGTACTTGCATTTGGGTATTTGCATTCATTGATTGATTCTACAAAACTAAAAATTGAGCCTTTTGTGGTAAATTTATTATAGATACATTCATAAGGAAGATAGAATTAGGTATGGTTTTATGTAAGTATATCCATGAATCAGTGCTTCTCATTTCCTGACATTTCCTGAAAAGCTTGATCATTTATATGATGAATATACAGAGTTCCCCAAAGATTGAGGACCATAAATTTAAAGTAATCACTTTTGGAAATTGTCTTCATTTTCTTAATATGCAGTATCTTGCTCAAGCACATATTTTTCCATGTTCTTTTTTATGTTCATTGCTTTCTTCACAATTCAATATATATTTCTTTTTGAAAGCCTTTTTTTTTTAGAAAATTAAGCCACTACATTCAGTTCTCCTCACCATACAGAGACTCATATAACATTTGAGCAGCCAGAAAACTATTGTGGCTCATCCTTCACAATTCCAGATCATAGTTGAGAAAACTGCAACATAGCACCTGTTCATACTAACGGAATATCAATACTAATGTAGCCGGAACTTCAAAGAAGCATATAATGTAGCTGTTTAAAGTAATACTGGAAGCTGTTCTGAGACCTTGAGTGTGACATATTTCTCATCTTTCTTTTTTCAGGGATCATATTTCAATATTTGTTCAGACTTTCCCAAACTATGGTGTTTAATGTTGTAAAAGTTGCAAGTCAATATTATTGTTAATGGTCTTACACAGTGGTGGGATTCAATTTTTACTACTGGTTCTGTGGGCGTGGCTTGGTGGGCATGGCTTAGTGGGTGTGTGACTGGGTAGGCAAGGCCAACAAAAAGAAGATATACCAAAAAGTAGTTTATTGAACTTCAATTCCCAGAATTCCCAAGGCAGCATGTAGTTCGCCCCTCTTAAACTTGCCAAGACTGAAAAATGCTGATCTACAGAGAGGGATTTTTCCATTCCTCTTTTACTGGTTCTTACTTGTAAGCAATCATAATGCAAAATGCTCACTTCAATCCCATCCAAGAACAAAGATAATGCAAAATCCTCACTTCCACCCCATTCCAGAGCAACCATCATTCCTTCACTAACCTGCTTTCCAGCTCTGTTCTCCTGTGTGTAGGGCAACAAAAGAAGACCATGTGACTACTAATTTAAAAAAGGTTCAGTCAGACTTTCCAAACTTCTTGTGGGAAGGGAGATCTCACAAAATTGGAAGGTCCGACCGAACCTTTTTTTAAATTGGTAAGTCACATGGTCTTCTTTTGTTGCCCTGCACACAGGAGAACGGAGCTGGAAAGCAGGTTAGTGAGGGAATGATGGTTGCTCTGGAATGGAGTGGAAGTGAGGATTTTGCATTATGATGGCTCTGGAATGGGGTGGAAGTGAGGATTTTGCATTATCTGTGCTCTGGGATGGGATGGAAGTGAGGATTTTGCATTATAATGCAAAACCCTCACTTCCACCCCATTCCAGAATATCCACAATTCCCTCACTAACCTGCTTTCCAGCTCCGTTCTCCTGCATGCAGGGCAACAAAAGAAGACCATGTGACTATGAGTTAAAAATAGTTCAGTTAGACCTTCCAACTTCTCGGGGGGGAAAAGATCTCGTGAAGTTGGAAGGTCTGATTGAATTGACTGATTGGCTTCCCAGCTGGTCCATTGCCACCTCCCAGCTGATCAGCACGGCTCCCAGTCATGCAGCCTCCCCACCTGAAAGGCAAACCCGGTGAGTGGGGTGATTCAGCAAGCAGGTGGGTGGGGGCAGGGCCAGCCAGAGGTAGTATTTGCCGGTTCTCCGAACTACCCAAATTTTCCGTTACGGGTACACCAGAACCGGTCCGAACCAGCTGAATATTTCCTCTGGTCTTAGAGCATATAAATTAGGAACCACAGATTTCATGGAATTATATTCTTAGTGACATTCATATTAATTAGGGTTCATATAAATTATCAAAGTGTAAAAAGCTAGGGACACTTTTGAAAATGGTGTATCACCATTGATAATTCAGTGTCGTTGCTTAGTCACATAAATATATCTTTATGAGTTCAGTCTGAAATACTAATTTTAATATGTTTATGCTATATTCACCAATAGAAAATGAGAGAAAATGAGAATTGAAATATACTTTATATTATTGTTTAAATTGCACTTTATATTATTAATGGTGCGGATATGCTTTAAAATATCTGCATATGATATTTTACAGGTTCAAAGTCCTACTTTACATCTCTGCAAATTAGATGGATCAAAGCCTAGCCATGCTGCACCTATTTTTACAAAGGTCTGTTTTCTCAACCAATATTCTGTCCCAAAACCATGTGACTATGGATAATTTAAAGCCTAGAAGAGTGGTAAACAAATAGAATTGTGTTTTTTTTGGTTTTTTTGTCTGCCAATTTTCCCAATGGGGTACTAAGCATTCTTAGGAATTATGGGGATTGAGAGATGGCATTTCTGGAAAGCAACTGGTTTAGAAGGGTGATTTATACTATTGGAAAAAAAATGGATTTTTTTTCAGAAATACTTTTTTCTGAAATCTTAGCTTCCACTACTTGCACTTTATAAGATGGAATGGGCTAGTCTTGGACTGCATGCAACTTTCTCAAGCTTTGGAAATTGAATATGGTAAAATTTGTTACACTTTTTGGTGCACTTTTGATACATGGTACATTTTTTTGTTTTTTGTTTTCCACAAAATTAAGAGCTGGAACAAAAATGGAAGACAAAATGCCCTAAACCGCACCCTTAAATATTCCACAAATCCTGAAAAAAAAATCCCTAAGTTAGGCTGCAGAATGGTTTCTGGACCTTAAGAGATTGGGGTGTAAATGTGAAGATTTTAGGATTCAAGTCACTCCATAATTACTTCTCACCACCCTAAGAGCCCTCTCTTCATCTTTTTAAACTAATTTTAACAGTGTTTAATCTTCCTGGCCTCCTTCTAAATTTTTAGTTGTTACATGCTGCTTTATTAACATTTTATTGTATAGTTCCTCTCTGAGGGAGATGGGTGATTCAAAAATGTCAGAAATAAATAAAAAATAAAACAGAAAGCCAGAACATTTAAAATTTTTGCAACTTTTTCCATTCACTTTTTATTTTCCAAATTACAATTTTTGTATGTTTTTTGAAAATATTTGGATAATGCATAAGTACTTATACATAAAATAATTGCTACTAGTGGAAAAGGTGCTGTACAGATATATTTTTTTCATAATTTTTTTTCTTGATAAAGTCAAAGGTAGAAAACATGTTATAAAAGACATGCGGGTTAGTGTAGAGTATAGAGATGGCCTTGAAGATGCAATTGAACTACCATTCATCAGCTTTAGGCTGGAGAGATGTGGGAGAACTTCAACACTGCTTTCCCTTAATTCTCTCAGTATAAGAGCAGATGGGAAGGGAAAGAATTTTTATGAGACTTTTAAGATTCTGCTATTGTATATTATAATTTTATAGTAGACTGTATAGTGTAACTCTGTTTCCTGACCTGATCTCCCTCAAAAGTCCTATAGTTCCGCATGGTAGATAACAGTTGTTTTGGATCTCCTATAAAGTTTCATAAAGGAACTACATCAATTCCACAGCAAAAAGCATTGTCTATAAATATACATTGTTATAAAGCTTCTGCACATTGAAATTTCATTTCCTCGATATTAACTTAGGAAATATCTGTGTTTCATAGATGCTGAATGATAGATACATAGACAGACAAACAGACAGACATAGGCAGGCAGGCAGACATGGGCGGGCAGGCAGACAGATAGGTTAATAAATGAAATTTCCATAGCTGTAAGTGTGCTGTCCAGATAGTATATAGGTAATTGGGAATTGAGATAGTTAAGTTAGAATTGGGAGCTGTCCCCTTAAGGGAATGCCTCATGGTAAATATAGTTAATGCATCATGGGAAATGTAGTTCGTGTCATGTGGTCACATCTGTAATCCTGATTGGTCACTGAATTGACCCTTGCTTGGTTGGGGGAGTTTCCTTTATTCTTGCTCAGACCCCAGCATCATGCTGGTGTCTCACCCTTTGCTCCATCATTATGGGATGAATGATCACTATTCTTTTACACTATGAAGTCAGCTGTGCAAAGAGTTGAACATTAGGTGAATCTCAACATAACCGTGAGTTACACCTTGAGAATGCCTTGTGATCCAATAAAGAAACTTTGTATGGAAGCCTTTATAGAGTTGTCTGTCTGTCTTTATATTCAGCCAGCAGTCTAAAGACAGAACAGTAAACATCTGATCACAACATAACTTGATCATCACAAGGTTTATGCCAATACTGGGACTCTTTGTTTAGAAAAAGTATTTCTTTTTTCAGAACCCAAGAGCAAGGTTCCTCAGTAACTTATATGATATATATAACAAGATATATGAACTTCAACTTGCTGGGAAATCTGTTCAAGACAAGACGAAAGAGAAGAGAGATATGTTGACCTAGACCAGGAGTGTCAAACTTGATTTCATTGAGGGCCGCATCAGGGTTGTGTTTGACCTCATGGGAGTGTGTGGAGTGTGTGTGGCCAGCTCAACATCACTTGGTAGGGGCACCTGTGGTGACCCGGATGGATCCATTGTCTCCAGCGGAGGAAGGCGAAACTAGGAAGAACGTCAAACTCTTGTCCTCCAGAGGAGCCTTGCTGTCTGCTGGTGGCCAAGTGCTAAGGCAGGACTTTCCTTCCTTCCTTCCTTCCTTCCTTCCTTCCTTCCTTCCTTCCTTCCCTCCTTCCTTCCTTCCTTTCCTTTCCTTTCCTTTCCTTTCCTTTCCTTTCCTTTCCTTT